TATAAATTCAAATTGTCCACTTCTTATGTATATCATATTGCTGTTGTAGCTACAAATATTGTTTGTTTGTTTTATACCTCGAGATTATTGATGATGGAATTATGATGATTCCGAAACGTTTAATAAATGCTTCCTATTATTACGTTCGTGTTTTGCTTTTTCATTAAGTTACGTTTTCCTTAAATGAGATGATTACTAATTTACATACTATTAAATTACACAATTTTACTTTGTTATTTTCATTTCTTCATATAGAACATGACCATGAACATGCTGGAAAGTTTCATACCTTGTTAGGTCCTGAAAATAACCTTGGTGTTCGTTGAGTGTTTATATGAAACATGAATGATATGCTTTTTTAAAAGAACAGCAGAAGAAAAGAACAGCAGTAACCGCTACTTTTAACCAATGTCAGGTGAGTGGCGGAAGAAGCCAATGGAAAACCATGAAATTGAAAGCCCAATTTCCGTATATTTAATAGTATATCGATACTATATACAACTCTGCAATGAATTCCGTTCTGTGTGTGTCCTAGGCGTCGTTGAGAAAATACATTAAAAATGCAACAGGGCGAATAGTCAAGAAAACATTGTTACCTGGACAGAAATGGTCGCCACCAATACTGGAGACTTTTCATACTTGACTAGAAGATCTCAGTAAATTATAACTGGCGTGATTAAGCTACAATTTCCAAAATCATAAGGGACGATGAATTGTACCAAGTATTTATGCACAAAGAGCCATCAAGTACATCAGACACACATTACTGGAATGACAGCTTGAATGTTCCTACTGTAATACGAATGAATCGCTGGATCTAATAAATTTCTTGGATGTTATCATATTTCTCCAGTTCTATAAAACACTTAGCAAAGGCAGACACGGAAATGTCCCGACCCGAAACATTACGACTTTCCTATTATGCTGAAAAAAGCTTAACTGGTTTTGATGAAGAGTGTATAAAAATGAGGATTTTACAACTAAGTATATAAAATATTACATATGTGTTTGGATGGAAAGTTATTAAAATATTTCATCCTCAGATTAAAAAAAGAATTATAGCCAGATAATCATTCTATCAATTTATAACGAACAGAGAAACAATTACGGATGGATTCATATTGCGGTTTGTCAGAGCTAACAATGGTGAAACTCTTTGGAAGGATACTTAACCTTCGCCAGCACCTGTCCTCGCAGTGTACGAACTATGAAATGCAACTAAACGATACTTATATAATTAATATTTGAAACTGTTGGGACTTGATGAACCTCCATAATTATAGATAAGCATGCAAGTTCGGAAAAAAGCATCGTGAATTCAAACTACACAAGTTAAATTAAACTAAAGTAAATAATGGCTTTAAAAAATACTGAAAATAATACGTGCTTACAACGTAGTATGTATACTGGTATGAGTAGCCGTTCTTTATGATTACAGAACTAACAGGAACATGAGGAAGTAAATGTGGATTTGACAGCATTTTCAAAAGTTGTAGGAAAGGGAAATATGTCTGCTACTTGTACAGTTAACAGGAAATAAATTATTACAAAAACAAACTTTGTAAATATGTAGTAATCATTAAAAGGAAGCCATTATAATGTGAAGTAATTATATGAATATCATACGAATTTTAAGGACAAGAAGACGAATCATACAATCAACTGGCAATGAAGTCTTGCTGTACATACGATAAACGTATATGAAATGCTAGTGTATAGAATGATCTTAAACAAGCTTCGTGGTGGACAAAGTGCGTTCAAAATACACTGGCTGAAACAGGAAAGAACGTTTTATTCACACAGCCCAGAAAGGTCGTACTAAATACACAACTCGCCAAGTTGAATCCATGCTGCCGTAATTAAATCAGTATAATTATCATAGTAGTTGATGTAATCCATTGCTTATCTTAATAGGAAAATATATTTTACAGATGTTGATAATCGAAGGTCAACTTTTATGATATTCTCAGGTTAAAAATTACCTAGTGGACTCGCAATCAGGTAATGGGGACACGGAAACAGGGTAGAAACTAATCTCACTGGTTGTTGTATATTAGGTACTTTAAAAATAAACTGGAAAATGCTGCCACGTTAGAAAGTGTTACTAAAGATGCAGATTAGTGAAGAATAAAATGATATCCACACTCCTTCAAAGATAACAGATACACAATTAGGCTATGAATCTAATCTCGGTTTATCATTCAATTGATGTAATAAATTCTTATGTGCTATTTGAATGCCTCAAAACAAGATAGTTGAGTAGGGCACATTATTATAGGTCTTTCTGTGAACAAGGTAATGGACATTTGTGACACACATAAAATACAGAACCGTTACTTTCCGAAACACAGCAGTCTGTAGTAACTTATATAGTGTGTTAAAATATCTAAGGTGACCACTGTAACGCACACCTTAATTGCAACCACTTCCAGTCCTACTTGAATTACTTGATACCGTCTAAACTGATGCAATAAAAGCACTTCCTATTTGTGAAATTGGCCTTGATAGAGAAAGAACGCTAACACGTATAGCAAGTGTTTGTAACCTGAATGACAACTGTTAAACCATTAAACTGGCAGTGGTTACTAGTGATTGATGGTCACTAGTTGAAACTTACTGCGTCCATTTATTAATATACATTTATTTGTAATCCAATGAGAGATAACGGCGACATTAAATTCTTAACTGTGAATAGGGATGTACAGAGTGATCTAATAATTTAGTATTTTGTTGTTGTTTTCGAACGTTAATAGTAACTGGAGTTTCCATGAGGCCGACTTCCTGAAACTTTTTTTTTTATTATTGGTAAAGTTGACTATGGGGAAGAGAAAGTTAAGAAAAAGTCCAGTAAGTTGTGTTGTCTTGTATACGTATATCCGATCAGCCTTTCTACGTTTACAATTAAAATTTTGAATTTTTGTTTGGAACTTTAAAAAGCTATCCGTTTTTGGAGTGGTTTTTCCTTATCAAAATGTTTTGTACCTCATTGATATCAATTGTGCATTTTAACTTTTCTAATTCTCTTTAATTTATTTTTCTTAAGTATTACCAAGTCATGATCTAGAGCTAAGTTACAATAAAAGGATGAAAGAATAAGCAAAGTTGAGCTGGCTCAAGACTTCAACCTCGGAACTACTCGCTACCCTCAAACTGTGAGTTTATTTACAATTTTAAAACGTTCTATATTCTTTCAACCATTTGATTTTTCTTTTAAGGTTCGTTAATCTTCAAAGCATTCGTAAACAAACAATTAAATGAATAAAAATGTTTACTGTTCGGTGGAGATTCTTAAAATTTCCAAGTATATGTTTATTTTAAAAAGTATTAAGCTGAAAGTACTCCAAGAGATTTTGTCAGTGAAGTATAAAATATCCAAAAAATGTCATGCATTTGTCTGGTCGTAGAAGAGTCAGAGATATAATAACAATTGGTTATGTCGTCAAAAGCTGTAGATACTTTCCGCGCTAGTTAACGAACTGAAAGTCTCCTTCCCAGAGTTTTCCAAAGACCTGTTATCTATTCTTCAAGCAGTGTCTTAAAATTGTAAGTCTGTATGCATGAAACTCTCAGTTTTTTATTCTGCTTGTCAAAGAGGAGTATTACTTGTGTAGTTTGAGATTTAAAATCATTCTTAATACTTCTAGGTGAAAGATCAATTTCTGCTGCAAAACGATGCAACATGTGTCAAATTATATTCCGAACTACTGTCAAAAACTATGTGATTAGACTTGTTAATAACATGGCTGATAATGTTGGCTCATCATCTTATTTAGTGAATAATCTTCCTTCAAGTAATGATAATGTCATCCTTTACTACATATTTTTTCACAACTTTCCAGAGTTAGTACGGAAGATAGCTTTCTTTGAAACAATGCAGTTAGTATTTGTTAATTTAGAAAAAAGGACAACAAATCTGAAAACAATGTCTCATTATTTCTCTTATGTAAGACTATCTGCCGATTATATATGACACGCTTTTAGAAAACAGTTTTCTAAGAATGATGATTTAGTTATTTAATAACATTTTCAAGAATCGTGAAGTAATATTTATTTCAAGAGACAAGAAAAAGTTAAGGCATAAACATAACGATCTATTAGAAAATTGGGCCTAACGAATATATCACACTTAAGCAGTGATTTGAACACGATATATCAGTTACGATTTTCCTATCCTAGATCATACACGATTTGTCATGTATTTGATCATCTGAATTGGAAAGTCTTACCATGTTATATCATCCAAATTTTTCAAGCTGGTTAATATGTGGACGATATTTTTTCTGTTGACAAAAAAATCCTATATAAATTGTTCATATAACATTAATAAAATATTTTGGGAAAGCGTCTGTACTTTCTTACTCGTATCCGATGGATAAATAAATAAGGTGTTACATTTAATCCAATGTTTGCTTGTCCGATTTCATGCAAAGTAGGGATTAATTAATTAATTCACCGATTACTTAGCTATGTGGTGGAGTGATTATGTCAAAGATAAAGGTTACACCAAGCAATTATTTATGTCTCTCGAACAAAAAGTGACTACAACTTATAACATTAAGTACAATTCTTTGTTCCAACACGGTAGATAGATCCAATTGACTTTGGTGTATATACTCAATGGCTACAATTGCCTCAATCATTGGCAGTGAATGTGTTTAGAACAAAGTTAAAACGTATCGGGCCATGTAATATCGCATGACTGTTTACAAAGACAAAAGGTTTAAGTTTGGAAAAATGTCGCTATTAATAACTTTTAACTAACAATATTTACTAAATTTGGTTGTTGTTGTTTTCTTAATGAAAAGCTATCTGCTCCCTGTCAAACGCGGGAAATCGAACAGCATATTCTAGCGTTGTAAGCCCGTAAACTTACCGCTGATCCACTGGGGAACTATTAAATTTAGACAGTTAATAATCGAATCAACACTGGTGGTTGTTGTTGAAACGTGGGTACGAGATTATCAAATATAAAATAAGTGATTGATTAATATAAAAAATACCAATGTCTAGAACTGCACTATCTTCTAATATGCTTCCTGATCTTGTTGGATACCTGAAAAAGAAAAAAAAAAATTATAAATAATTCGAGAAAAATCCTCATACAATACCTAAAAATTAATATTTGTAAAAACTTACGTACACGTTGATTCACCACTGAATACATGACCAAAAATAACGAAATGTTAACTTTCGTTACTGTGAGTAAAATACCTATATAACCATAAATTATATGCTATGGCCAGTCAAGTTGTACGAGTTTTAATAATATGGTGAACCGGGTGTGACCTAATGGTTAGTGTACCGTGTTGTGGATCCCAGGAATCATGGTTTGCATCCTGATGCCATAAAAACAAACTCCGCACTCTGGGACCGTGGGTGCGTTAACAAAAAAGTGGCGGTCGAATTATATTATTCTTTTAGAGTTACCTGGGAGTTAGTGGTGGGGGTTCTTGTCTAGCTGCCTTCCCTTCTATCTATCAGTTTAAAATTAAGGACAGCTAATGCAGATGGATATCTCTGGCCTAGTTCTGTGCACTTTTCCGATATAAGAAAAAAGTAATTTACTAAAACATTATTGACGGTCATAAGAATCGTGCTTCGGGCAAGACAATTTGGATTTAACATGTTAAAAACAGTGTAACGTTATATTTTTATCTTGCGGTTTGAAGCTATATTTGATCAACTACTTGTATGACCTGACGAAGATGAGCTTAAACGAGTCCAGACGTCATAGTGTAGCACTATCCAAGCAGCTTAATTCGTAAAACATTAGATGTACATGAAACCAATTAGTACGCAATCGATCAAAAGTTTTGTTTCGTTATTCGTTTAGTCATTCAAGCATTTAACTGTAATTAAAATGATATAATGATAACCATGTAAATAAACTACTTCGAAAAACTTAGTAAAAGATTTCGTTTTTTTTAATTTTTTTTGTTTACACCATTAAAATTCATTCAATCTTGAAGTACAGAAATTACTGTTAAGAACTTTGAAGAGACTATTTTAGAAACATTAAACATCTTCCAAAAATGATAAAAAAATATATTTAGTATCAGCATAATACCAAAGAATATTTAAAAATAGAAGCTGCTAACCTCGTGAGAACATTTATCAACGGTATTTTCACCTATAGTGGAGTTTTCTATTTTAAAGTATACTTGACAGTTTCTAAAGTATGTTATTCAGTGGAAGAAGTAATTATGGTCAGTATGAATGTTATTTAAACTAATTTAATTACTGACACCCAATCACTTTGAGAGAAGAAATAAAACTCAAAATATTAACATAACTAAGCCGCAAAGGAAAATGGTGTTCTTGAATCTTTCCTTACTGTCTTCTGAAACTTTTTCCCGCCTGAGGACCCCACGGAAAGATTCATAAAACCCATTTACTTTATTCGAGTATTTTATTACGTTTTATATTCAGGGCCGCATTAAGGTATAGTGCCGCCCTAGTCAGATATTTTTATTGCAGTCCACGCCTCCATGTGATCGCTACAAAAATAAAATATCTGTATTAGTAACGTCAATAATCATGTCATCAGTCACGTTATTGCTTAACGCTCTTGATTGGTATCTCAATTTGGTGTGACGAGTTGCAACCTTCTGCATCACAAAATACAAGAAAAACATAATTCAAACTTTTGTTGCCGCTTATATAATTTGCCTTTCTAGACAGCTGCCCACTCTGCCTATGCGTAAATGTGGTCATGTTTATCAAGACACACGTAGTGTGTCGTGCGGCCAAAACAACCTACAGGTATCACTGTGTGTTATTTATTAACAGGAGTGATAGTTTAGCGATTTTTATCTCGGACTGTGATAATCGAAATTAATGCATATTTTCTGTGGACATGCTCTACTGGACTTCACGTATCAAATTTCAAGGCAATCCATTATGAAATAAATGAGATATAACATCTCCAATTTTGATTGAGTTTCTTGCTTTTTTTTCTTTCTACGCACTATAGGAACATAAACTGTATTTAATAGAAAATATACTTAACTTCTGGATACCATTTTCTTCCTGCCACTTTTGGGTGTTTCTAGCAGTGTGACACGGTGCTCCATCTTCCTCGAACAACGTTGTGTTCTTGTCCACGAAACCCGAGGAATAAAGTGGCAAGAGTCCTTCCTCCAATATTTCGACGTATTTCGCAAAATTTATGTTGCCAACGCACTCCATTAAGCTCGATCTCCCACCAACCCAAACAGTACCCCAAATCAACACGCTGAAACCCCCATGCTTCACAGTTGGCTGCAATCTGTTGAGCCAAAAC